ACCACTACTACCACCATCACCGCTACCACCATACCCACCATCACAGCCACCACTACACCACCATCACTACTACTACCACCATCACCACTACTACTCACCACTACAACCATCACCTACTACTACCATCACCGCTACCACCATCACAACCATACAACCACCATACCCATCACTACTACTACCACCATCACCACTACTACCACCATCACCACTACTACAACCATCACTACTACTACCACATCACCGCTACCATAAACCACCATCACAACCACCACTACAACCACCATCACTACTCTCCACCATCCCCACTACTACCCATCACCACTACTACAACCATCACTACTACTACCACCATCACCGCTACACATCACCAACCACCATCACAACCACCACTACAACCACCATCACTACTACTACCACCATCAATAACTCTTGACAATCCCCAACTCTACCATCCCCGAACTATATGCATAAATCTCTTTCTTCTTACATCTGCTATGCATCATAATAAACTCTCTTACTTTCCTCTCACATCCCCTGAATACTCCTTATCATCTCTGACATCCTCTTTTTCAACCTCTGACATCTTCTCTAATCAACTCTTACTTTCTTCTGCATCATTTCTCCATCCTTACTACATCTTACATGAATCACTTTCTTTTGCCATCACTCTCACCCATCATGCTAAACATAACACATCACCACTACTACAACCATCACTACTACTACCACCATCACCACTACTACAACCATCACTACTACTACCACCATCACCACTACTACCATCACCACTACTACAACCATCACTACTACTACCACCATCACCTCCATCACTACTACTACCACCATTACCACTACTACCATCACTACTACTACCACCATCACCACTACTACCACCATCACCACTACTACAACCATCACTACTACTACCACCATCACCACTACTACAACCATCACTACTACTACCACCACCTCCACTACTACCACCATCACCACTACTACAACCATCACCACTACAACCATCACCACTACAACCATCACCACTACTACAACCATCACTACTACTACCACCCACCACTACTACCATCATCACTACTACCACCATCACCACTACTACCACCATCACCACTACTACCACCATCACTAGTACACCATCTTCCCTGCTACTACATACCCAACTAGTATAACACCTGAGGGTTACCTGTACACCTCTAGGCCAGGTAACGTACAATAGTCCATGTACACAACCTGCCCGGTAGTGTCACACCACCTAACCTGAAGTGTACATGACCCAACTGTGACCTACTTAGTCCAGGAAGTGTACATGACCCAACTGTGTACACTACTTAGTCCAGGATGTGTACATGACCTACCTGTGTACATTACTCGGTCCAGGATGTGTACATGGCTAACCTAATCAGTTATCTGTGTACCAGCGATAAGCAGAGTACACACCTGTCTAAACTTGACACCTGTATGTGTTAAGTCAGGTGTAGGAAGCCGTGACAAACACACACACACACACACACACACACACACACACACACACACACACACAATGCATTCAGAACACAAGAATAACTCCATAATAACATTGGTATTAATGAACAAATAACAAAGAAGAACAGTTTTAAAAGTCAGCAAAATAATAATAACAATAATAAACCTACATCCATCACTGCACACCTGCTACACCTCCGTACAGTTATCTCAGCTGCACACCTGCTACACCTCCGTACAGTTATCTCAGCTGCACACCTGCTACACCTCCCTACAGTTATCTCAGCTGCACCTGCTACACCTCCGTACAGTTATCTCAGCTGCACACCTGCTACACCTCCGCCTACAGTTATCTCAGCTGCACACCTGCTACACCTCCGTACAGTTATCTCAGCTGCACACCTGCACACCTCCGTACAGTTATCTCAGCTGCACCTGCTACACCTCCGTACAGTTATCTCAGCTGCACACCTGCTACACCTCCGTACAGTTATCTCAGCTGCACACCTGCTACACCTCCGTACAGTTATCTCAGCTGCACACCTGCTACACCTCCCGGCACAGTTATCTCAGCTGCACACCTGCTACACCTCCTACAGTTATCTCAGCTGCACACCTGCTACACCTCCGTACAGTTATCTCAGCTGCACACCTGCTACACCTCCGTACAGTTATCTCGCTGCACACCTGCTACACCTCCAACAGTTATCTCAGCTGCCTGCTACACCTCACAGTTATCTCAGCTGCACACCTGCTACACCTCCGACAGTTATCTCAGCTGCACCTGATACACCCCTGCAATTATCTCAGCTGCACACCTGCTACACCTCCGTACAGTTATCTCAGCTGCACACCTGATACACCTCCGTACACAGTTATCTAGCTGCACACCTGATACACCTCCGTACAGTTATCTCAGCTGCACACCTGATACACCTCCGTACAGTTATCTCAGCTGCACACCTGATACCTCCGTACAGTTATCTCAGCTGCACACCTGCTACACCTCCGTACAGTTATCTCAGCTGCACCTGCTACACCTCCGTACAGTTATCTCAGCTGCACACCTGCTACACCTCCCGTACAGTTATCTCAGCTGCACACCTGCTACACCTCCGTACAGTTATCTCAGCTGCACACCTGCTACACCTCCGTACAGTTATCTCAGCTGCACACCTGCTACACCTCCGTACAGTTATCTCAGCTGCACACCTGCTACACCTCCCGTACAGTTATCTCAGCTGCACACCTGCTACCTCCGTACAGTTATCTCAGCTGCACACTACACCTCCGTACAGTTATCTCAGCTGCACACCTGCTACACCTCCGTACAGTTATCTCAGCTGCACACCTGCTACACCTCCGTACAGTTATCTCAGCTGCACCCTGCTACACCTCCCGTACAGTTATCTCAGCTGCACCTGCCACCTCCGTGTTATCTCAGCTGCACACCTGATACACCTCCACAGTTATCTCAGCTGCACACCTGCTACACCTCCGTACAGTTATCTCAGCTGCACACCTGCTACACCTCCGTACAGTTATCTCAGCTGCACACCTGCTACACCTCCGTACAGTTATCTCAGCTGCACACCTGCTACACCTCCGTACAGTTATCTCAGCTGCACACCTGCTACACCTCCGTACAGTTATCTCAGCTGCACACCTGCTACACCTCCGTACAGTTATCTCAGCTGCACACCTGCTACACCTCCGTACAGTTATCTCAGCTGCACACCTGCTACACCTCCGTACAGTTATCTCAGCTGCACACCTGCTACACCTCCGTACAGTTATCTCATTGCACACCTGCTACACCTCCACAGTTATCTCAAAACAATCTGCAACATACACACACCTGCTGGGCGTCACACCTGAACACATTAATTAACAACACACATCTGTGACCCTCCTTGAGAGAGCGGGTCTGACACCAGCGGATACGACTTTCATTTCCGCGTTACCTCACACACCTCTCACACCTGAACTGAAGCCAAAAAGTTAAAGAATAAAAAAAAGTTAAAAAAGAGAGAATGGAACATTTTTTCTTGTTGGGTTGGTTAAGGTTGGTTTAGGTTAGGTTGGGTTAAGGTTGGTTTAGGTTAGGTTGGGTTAAGGTTGGTTTAGGTTAGGTTGGGTTAAGGTTGGTTTAGGTTAGGTTGGGTTAAGGTTGGTTTAGGTTAGGAACATTTTTCTCTAGGAAACACCGAATATATAAATAAATAAACAAACAACAACAACAACAACAAATACAGTAAATACAGACGCCGCAGCACTGCCTATAGGCCTACCATACATCTCTGTACCCCCAAAAAAGAGACAGACAGACAGATATATCTCCTCCCTGGTCCCACACAAGGGAACAGATGAAAAAATCAGTACATATGTCTGACAGTAGGCCTAGGTGGGTGTTTGGGGGGACGCGAACCAAAGGGAGAACGAGAAAAAACACAGTGGTAGTTTAACGTAGTGTTGATTTATGAAGCTACTGACGTATGATAATGATGATAAATAATAATAACAATATCAACAACAATAACTACAACACCAATAAATTCAATAACAACAACAACAATAACTACTACAACATCAACAAGAATAATAACAACAATAATAAGAAGACTCACCACAAATTCAGCTCTATAACTCTACGTGACGTCACCCACACAGAGCTGAGGGCCTAACATGGTCTATATAAACACGTTACTGATGTCAGGTGATAAAGCAGCACCGTGTATAGGCCTACAGGTGTCCCCAGGTGAGCCAAACTAATAATTAAAAGTTAGTGTAGGTAAAACAAAAGACATGTTTGGTAATTCCTAAAGTAAAAAAATAAATAAAAAAATTATATTATATATGTATGACGGTGTAGGCCTATAGGTTTTCTCGACTCGAAGTAAAACTATTAAGGTAAAAGTTGTGTACTAAACCGACCGTATATGCTGCCGGTGTCCATGTAGATAGCTAAATAAAAAATGTTTCAATACAGAGGTAGCAGAGCGGTGTAGGCCTATAGAGAGACAGCTGGTGGCCTAGGCCTATGAGGGGAGTGTCTGGGAAGAGGAGAAGACACACACACACACACCAGGAGGCACCACCTGTGTCTACCTGGTGGCGGCATAGTGTGTGTGTGTCTTGTTACGCCCCGCAGTGTTCCTACCCGCCCACACCACCCACCCACCCAGACACAGGTGTATCTTTCACACCCACCTGGCGCCCTCTGTAAACACCGCCATGTTCTCCACTCAAATTGGATGAACAAACTCTACCTTAACGACCCTCTCAGCAACCATCAATACTAATTAAGAGGCGCCCCACATCACCAGCCGGGGGGTAATGACTCAGCCTTGTGTCCCAGCTGATGTGAGACGTGTTAGCCACAGTTATAGGACGGCCATATACTCTGTAAGAACCACTGGGAATCGATTTCTCCGTCGTGGCTAAAGTGAGTCAGTTGGATGCTTCTCACAGCTTTAGTTAAGAGGATCCAAATTTGTCTTAGCTTAAGTGACTCCAGGCTCAGGTCTTGGGTCAGGTCTTAGCTCAGGTCTTGGGTCAGGTCTTAGCTCAGGTCTTGGGTCAGGTCTTAGCTCAGGTCTTGGGTCAGGTCTTAGCTCAGGTCTTGGGTCAGGTCTTAGCTTAGGTCTTGGGTCAGGTCTTAGCTTAGGTCTTGGGTCAGGTCTTAGCTCAGGTCTTGGGTCAGGTCTTAGCTCAGGACTTGGGTCAGGTCTTAGCTCAGGTCTTGGGTCAGGTCTTAGCTCAGGTCTTGGGTCAGGTCTTAGCTCAGGTCTTGGGTCAGGTTTTGTACTATATTACACAACATGATGATGGATTAGTGAGGGCGATAATACCAAGGTTGTTTGTCTGTTACTGTAAAGGACCACACACACACACACACACACACACACACACACTAATATGCATATGATAAAGAAACTAAATTTTCATATTTTTTGTCTCCTATTCTCTCTCTCTCTCTCTCTCTCTCTCTCTCGTCTAGTGCCACTCAGCCATTCACCCGGGTGTGGGATACGCCTCCAAGGTCGTTTGTATTGGTAACTGTCAGGAGTGATGCTGGCAGCTGTCATGCCACGCTGCCCACCTCACCAGCATGCCTAACCCACTATCCACTTTACCCAACCCACCATCCACTCTATCCAACCCAAAACCAGCATGCCTAACCCACTATTCACTTTATCCAACCCAATCCACTCTATCCAACCCAAAACCAGCATGCCTAACCCACTATTCACTTTATCCAACCCACCATCCACTCTATCCAACCCAAAACCAGCATGCCTAACCCACTATCCACTTTATCCAACCCACCATCCACTCTATCCAACCCAAAACCAGCATGCCTAACCCACTATCCACCTTATCCAACCCACCATCCACTCTATCCAACCCAAAACCAGCATGCCTAACCCACGATCCACTTTATCCAACCCACTATCCACTCTCCTTTTTACTTAACCCAAGAGGAAGAAGAACAAGAACAAGAAGATAAAAAGGATGAAGAAGAAGAGGAGAAGAGGAAGGAGAAGAGGATAAAAAGGAAGAAGAAGAAGGTGAAGAAACAGCTGACTACGAGACAGATCGACCTCCAAGACTAAAGCTCCCCACCCAGACACTTGGCCGCCACAGCTGAGACACGACACAATCACCTGAGTGTCTCATACTTGAAGGGCCTCTCCCACCCTCCACCACACTGCTCCATTCTCACCCTCCAACACCACACCCCTCCACCACACTGCTCCATTCTCGCCCTCCACCACACTGCTCCATTCTCACCCTCCAACACCACACCCCTCCACCACACCACACCGCCTCCACCACACCACACCGCCTCCACCACACCAACACCGCCTCCACCACACCACACCGCCTCCACCACACCCTTACCGCCTCCACCACACCACACCGGGGACAAGCGACAACACACCTATCACCCTATACTGTCCTGTGATGCTCTAATTACCACACCAGGTAATGTAGAAGCCAGGTAAACAGTTCTGGGTTCTTTAAGAGTGGCAATTTCAGGGCCCCCAGTGTGTATGAGTGGGGGGATGTCCTAGTGAGTGGGTTATGTTCTTCTTATATTGATTGCTTGTTGTTTTATTTTCTTCCAGAAGTGATACCCATGAGGTTAGAGTGGGAGGTACAATAGAGTGGGAGGTAAAAACAGAGTAGGAGGCACAATAGAGAGATGGGAGGTAAAACAGAGTGGGAGGTACAATAAGTGGAAGGTAGATACCCAGCCATGCTACCCCTCAACACAACACAGTAACCCCCCCCCTTCTCCTTATTCCCTCACCGACTTCCACGGCCGGATGTAGTAGTCCGTGGGGTGAAAACATAACAAGCCCCCTGGCGGAAGGACTGTGTCAAAACAAGAGGCTCACGGGCGACGACGACGACAACAACACACACACACACACACACACACACACACACACACACTTAAAAATATTTATCTTATCAACTTTCTGTAAACATCTACAAAAAATAATCCTCTACCCAATGTTTACAGAGGAGCAATACAGTATTACAGGACCTTACAGTATAACCCTCCCCCTGAACATACTGTACCGTACTGTAACACAATCAGCTGTTAGCCTTGGTATAGCAGGAGTTCCGGCCATTGTCGTTAGGTGAGCCGGACCTGGTTACCCCCATACAACATACTACATAATCTCACATACTACATACTTCTCACATACAAGGAAGGAAGGCAGGAGAGAAAGAGGAATGAGGAAGTTGAGGGAGGGAAGAGATGAAGGAGGATTAAGGAAAGAAGGTGAGGGAGGGAAGGAAAGGAGGTGTGAGGAGGAAGGAGACTGGGTGAGGAAGAGAAAGGAAAGGAGCAGTAAGAGGAATTAGGAGCGACAGAAATGAAAAGGGGAGAGCGAAGAGGGGAAGGAAGAGGAATGAAAAATGAGAAGAGATGGTGAGGAAGGGAAGGAAGCCTGACAAGCAACTGAAGGGAAACAAGAGGAAGTGAAGGGCATCCGGGCATCTCTGGGCATCTCTCGTGTTTATTATGGCGCCGTAATTAATGCCACAGATGCTTCCTCTCTTCCTCCTGGTCTGGTTGTTGATGATACTGTTCCTACCGTGTTGTTGTTGTTGTTGTTCTATTGGTGTTGCTGCTGTGGTGTTTTTGTGTTGTTGCTGGTGGTGGTGTTGGTGGTGGTGTTACTGGCAGGTGCTAATGGTACTGTAAATACTACTATTACTACTACTATTACTACTACTGTTCTGTGTGGGGCGGGGTTGTGGTGGGGTCGTTGTTGCAGTAGAGGTGATGGTGTTTACATCTGACTGGGGGAAGATGGCGGCACGTGGTCTGCTGTTTATCATTCACATGTGGGGGCCATAAGGCTCTATAAGCCCCACCCCACTAACCTAACCTAACCTAATCCAACCTAATCCAACCTGACTAAACCTAACCTAACCTAACCTAACCTAACCCCGACTAAAATCCTAACCTACTAACGCATCATAAATTCAACCAACTCTAAGCTAACCAACAATATAACCACACACACACACACACACACACACACACACACACACACACACACACACACACACACACACACACACACACACACACACACCTGCCTAAGACCACGAGTGAGTATATTATGCATCTCTACATGTGTACTCAAGCTCAATAAACAACACTGACTATGCTGCCACCCTACCCATGTACACACACACACGCACGCACACACACACACACAGGAGGGAGGGAAACCACAGAGGTGTGAAGGAGAAAGTGGGGGGAGGGAAGGAGGGAACGAATGGAGGGAGGGAGGGAGGGAGGGAGGGAGGGAAGCTCAACATAGCTTAACAGGGATCCTTCATGACTCACCACGTCGGCTGTCACCGCATCACACCTCCGTCACTCGCGCTACACCTTCGTCACTCACGTCACACCTGTCACTCCTCCGTCACCACGTCACACTCCGTCACCGCGTCACCTCGCCACACCTCCGGGTCACCACGTCACACCACCGTCACTCGCCACACCTCCGTCACCACGTCACACCACACCGTCACTCGTCACACCTCCGTCACTCACGTCACACCACCGTCACTCTCGCCACACCTCCGTCACTCACGTCACACCACCGTCACTCTCGTCACACCACCGTCACTCGCGTCACACCTCCGTCACTCGCGCCACACCTTCGTCACTCACGTCACACCTGTCACACCTCCGTCACTCGTCAAACCACCGTCACCATAATCATTCCTATTACATCACCTAACCTCTAACTACTGTATACTCGAAGTGCTCGTTAAGCAGCCCTCGTTAACCCCGAGTGATAACATAACGAGTGGTGGTGGTGGTGGTTGATATCACTCCCAGAAAGAGCTGGTTAGTCATATTTCTTGTTCTTCTTCTATTATCGGACAATGACCCTCCCTCCTTCCCTTCCTCCCTTTCCTCCATCTCTCTCTCTCTCTCTCTCTCTCTCTCTCTCTCTCTCTCTTCTTCCTTCCTCCATCCTCATCCCTCCCTCCCTCTCTCTCCTCCACTTCTATCCTCCTTAAGTATTACCCATTCTTCCCACACCTCCCATGTTTAGTCTCCAAGCAGGGGAGGGGGGGGTGGATTCGCCATAAGTTCTTATATGGTTCTCAAGGAAACAGGTAAATACTGGCAGGTGAAACACGATGGGGGTGATGAGGTGATGAAGGGGTGATGAGAGGGGTGAGGCAGTTACGAAGGGGTGAGGGGGTGATAGTTTGATGGGGTAATGAGGGGGAAGACGAGGCTACGAGGTGGTGAGAAAGAATAACAATACAGCCCCTCTCTCCCTCCTCCCCATCCCTCCTCCCCCCCTCTAAAAAAATCCTGCACAATACTTCTCATACTAAACATACACGAACTATTTAATTATTACCGTCCTCAGGTGTGTGTGTTTACCTGTATATACAATGACTGCTTCTTAATTAACACATCTACCTGTTATCGATACCATTATTTTTCCTTTTTAGTAGAGGAGTGAGTTTAGTTTAAAGGAACATCTGGTGTTACTGTATACTGAAAAAGATTGATAAATTATTGGAATACATTTGACTACACACACACACACACACACACACACACAATAATAATAATAATATCACACACACACACACACACAGTAACATACGTACATGTGACCTTGGAATACTGTGTGTCATGAAGCGTCTATCTACTCCTCTCTCCTTACATCTTTCCTTCACCTCCCTATCCACTTACCTTTCCCTCCCTCACTCCCCTCGACCTTGCAGTACCACCCCCCCTCTGCCTTGCTCCCTCAGCCAACACAGGGAGTACTTCCAGGTTCAAGTACTGTGGACGAGGCAGAAGAGAGGAGGAGGAACAAGGAAGGAAGAGGAAGAGTAAAAAGAGGGCAAAGGAAAAAGAAGGGAAGAATTGGAGGAGGAGGAGGGAGAGTCACGTGGTAAAGGTGAATTAAAGGAAAGAGAGAGAGAGAGAGAGAGAGAGAGAGGGCTGGTCAAGGGTTGATGAAGAAGAGAGGAGGGGAGATAAAGTGGGTGTTGGGGAGTGGGTGTAGTTGTAAAAGGTGTAAGCCCGGGTGTAGTGGGTGTGTATCGTAGGTGGGTGTAGGTGTTATATGGGTCACCTTGCTTGGGGGAGGGGGGGGGGAGAGGAAGAGAGTGATGGAGGGGGAGAGTGTAGTTGCTCAAGCCGGCAGACCAGATCAGACCAAAGCCGGTCGAGGACTGAGCAGAACTCGTCCTCCACCCACCACTGCCA